ACTGAAAATGTTCTCTGTAACATATGTGCTTAAATGGTACCAATAGTCTTATGAGAAACTCTGTCTTAGTTGGCATTATGTACTCAAAACAAAATGGTTATTGGAGACCAGGTGAAGAAGTATTAGAGCATTGTTCTCCTCTGAAATGGCTGGATACTACTTTCAAGGAGCAAGGTGGAATATTCACACCTAAGTCACCAAGCACTGTTGGTTTGGCATTGCTCCAGTATGCATTAGTATAGAAGACATGTCACATTGAGTACTTAGAGATCCTCCACTTCTTTCTCTGACAAATGAAGGAATACCAGTCATACACTATAATGAGGCCCCTTTCGTAGGTTTCAAAGTAATAAAGGGAAACTCATCATGTCAATCTAGGTATAAATCGTTTATCGTAAATGTTTTCTGAGCAATATCTGTAAAGGGGATAGCCATTGAAAGTGGCATTAAAGAATTTGTCATTCTTGAGACTACATTAGTTTTCGGTATTGGTTGCTCTTAACCAAGACTTGCTCAGTTCTCATGTTGTGCATAAGCTGGACTGTTATGTTGATTGAGATTGGCATATGTGTATGTTGATATATCATAGAGACCTACAGACCAGAAAAAATGGCCTGGCAGCCCATCACATCCATTCTGGTCAAAAACAACAACACTTCGCCCATATCTTTTTACAACTTGGCATCCAAGTGCACACTGCAGGTGCACACGTGCTACTTAAATGCTATGAGGGTTTCTACCTCTACAGGGAAAGTGCTGAAATTCCCACCACCCTCTGGGTGAAATGGTTTTTCCTCACATCTCCTCTAAACCTTCTGCCCCTTACCTTAAATCTTTGCCCCTTGGTCATTGATCCCTCAACCAAGGGAAAAAGTTGCTTGCTGTTTACCCTATCTCTGCCCTCCATCATTTTACACATCTCAAACATATTCCCTGTCAGTGTCCTCTGTTCTGAGGAAAACTGTCCCAATTTCTCTACATAAATGAAACTCTCCAGCCCAGGCAATGTCCAGGTAAATCTCCTCTGCACCCTCTCCAGTGCTTTCGCATCCCTCCAGTAATGTGGATTCCAGAACTGCACCCACTACTCTAGGCGTAAGCAGTGTTTTATACAGCTCCTGCATAATCTGTTTGCCTCAACTGTAAAGGCAAGTATCCTATGTGTCACCTTAACCACTTTACCTACCTGTCCTGATGCCTTAAGGGATTGGTGCACATGCACACCATGGTCCTTCTGATCCTTGGTGCTTCCCAGGATCCAACCTGCCAAAGGCATCACTTCACATTTAACCAGATTGAATTTCATTTGCCACTGATCAGCCCATGTTTATCTTCTTGTAGTCTAAGTCTGTCATTCTCGCTATTTACCACCTTACCAATTTTTGTATTGTCTTCAAATGTACTAATCAAGCCTCCTATTTTTAAGTCTATGTTGTTTACATAAATCACAAACTGTAAGAGCCCCAACACTGACCCTGTAGGACCCCATTGGACTGTACCTCACCCCTCAACCATCACACTCTTTTTCCTGCCATTCAGCCGATTGTGGATCCATTTGCCAAATTTCCTTGCATACCATGGGCTCTTACCTTTGCTGTCAGTCTCCCTTGCGGTACATTGTCAAAGCCTTGCTGAAGTCAAAGCAGACTACATCAAAAGCAATATACTCATCTACACACCTGGTTGCCTCTGAAAAATTCACTTGAGTTGGGCAGAAATAACCTCCCCTTAACAAAGCCATGCTGACTATTCTTGATTAATCCCTGGCTTTCCACATGCTGATTAATTCTGGCCCTCAGAATTGCTTCCAACAGTTTCCTCACCACTGAGGTTGGACGCACTGGCTTGTAGTCCCCTGGTTTATCTCTTGTTCCCTTCTTAAATAACCATACCACATTGGCTATCCTTCAGTTCTCTACCACTTCTCCTGTGGCCAGAGAGGAACTGAAAATTTTGCAGGTATTTTCCCATGCTATTTTCTGTTTTGCCTGACTCAGCAAGCTGGGATGTATTTTATCCAGACCTGGAGATGTTTCTACTTTTCCTCTCTGTCAATGCTGATTTCTTGAATTGTATCAATTGTCCTTCTCCCTGATTTTCTATACCCACGTTGTCCCCCTCACTAGTGAACGACATCACAAAGTATTCATTTAGAACCCTGCCTACATCCTCTGACTCCCTACACAAATTGCCACCGGTCCGTAATGGACCCTACTGTTTCCCTAGTTGTCCTTTACCTTAATGTACCTCCTAAGGCAATTTGGTGTTTTCCTTCCAGTATCCTTCAGTATCCCTTTTATCTCTTATAATCTCCCTTTAAGTTCTCTCTTCCATTCCACTAAGGCTTTCACAGTTTAAGGCCCCAGTATCTGCCAAAAGCCTGCTTTTTCTTTCAATCCAATTAATTGATTGGCTGTATATCCCTCTATCCAACATTCACAGGTGATGGTCCCACCCTTTCTCTTCATTGGAATGTGTTGGCCTTATACATTCCATATTTCCTTCTTTAATATATCCCACTGTTCTGGGACATATTTACCTGAAAGTATCTGCTCCCAATTCAATCTGGCCAAATCATATCTGATCTTATTGAAATGAGCCTGGCCCATCCTCCTCTGAGATGGCTTTGTGTGTGAGAAACTGTCTCTCACTAACTTGATTGAGTGATTGAAGAAGGCAGAGCATTGGACATTGTCTGTGTGGATTTCAGCAAGGTGTTCGACAGGGTTCCACATGGTAGATTGGTTAGCAAGGTTAGATCACATGGAATCCAGGGAGAGCTAGCAATTTGGATATGAAATTGGCTCAAACACAGGAGACAGGGTGAGGTGGAGGGTTGCATTTCAGACTGGAGGCCTGTGACCAGCAGTCCCACAAGGATTGGTGCTAGGTCCACTGCTTTTTGTCATTTATACAAATGATTTGGGTGTGAATAAAGGAGGAATGGCTAGTAAGTTTTCAGATGACACCAAAATTGGTGGTGTAGTGGACAGTGAAGGTTACCTGAGTATAACAGGACATTAATCAGATGGAGTTTAATTTAGATAAATGTGAGATGTTGCATTTTGGTAAGGCAAATCAGTGCAGGACTTAATGGTAGGGTCCTGAGGAGTGTTGCCAAACGAAGGGACCTTGGGGTACAGGTTCATAGTTCCTTGCAAGTAAAGTCGCAGGTAGACAGGGCAGTGAAGAAGGCATTTGGTATGCTTGCCTATCTTGAGTTCAGGAGTTGGGACGTCATGTTGTGGCTATACAGGAAATTGGTGAGGCCACTGTTGGAATACTACATTCAATTCTGGTCTCCCTGCTATGGGAAAGATATTATTAAACTTGAGTGGGTTCAGAAAAGATTTACAAAGATGTTGCTCGAATTGGAGGGTTTGAGCTATAGGGAGAGACTGAATAGGCTGGGGCTATTTTCCCTGGCGCGTCGGAGGCTGAGGGGTGACCTCATAGAGGTTTTTAAAATCATGAGAGGCATGGATAGGGTGCATAGCCAAGGTCTTTTTCTCAGGGTAAGGGAGTCCAAAACTGAAGGCATAGTTTTAAAGTGAGGGGAAAGATTTAAAAAGGTACCTAAGGGGCAGCTTTTTCACTCAAAGGGTGGTGTGTGTGTGGAATGAGCTGCCGGAGAAAGTGGTGGAGGCTGGTACAATTACAACATTTAAAAGGCACCTGGACGGGCATATGAAAAGGAGGGGTTTAGAGGCATATGGGCCAAATACTGGCAAATGGGACTAGATTAATTAGGACATCTGGTAGGCATGGACGAGTTGTGCCAAAGGGTGTGTTTCCATGGTGTACAACTCTGTCTCTGGATGGCTACTAACCCAATGCACTAAAGAAATGCCTAACTTGAATTTTGGAAATTAATTGCATTAAGAATGAAAATATTATTTGCTAGCTTGTACATTCCTACATTACAAACATAATTGCGAAGTCTGAAGACCATAAGCTTGTTTGATGCAAAGGTTTGATGCATTGTCCTCCAATGTGTGACGATTAAAAGCAAATTCTCAGGTCTGGCATATGGGAGACTGTCATACATTCCTTCATTTACCTTTTGCTGGAACAATTAAGTAATGAAATCCAAATCATGCATTTGAAAGTGTACCAATTACTACTAAGGGCATTTAACTTTAGGGAGGACATACTGATCTGGGGGAATCTCCAGCAACACTTCATCCAAGTGAAAAGACTGAAAGAGTAGGTGCCATTGAGTTATATCATATTAACGAGGATTTATCTGACACAAATGTTTAAGCAGTTGGAACATTCTGCCAATGAGAGTGGTGAAAGCAGAGATAATAGCTGGTTTCAAAAGGAATTTGACAGGCCCATGAACCAAATAAGCCTGGAGTTTTTACAGAGAGCTTGTATGTTCAGTAGACTAAAAGGCCTCCCGTGCAGCAATGATTCTCTGCCTAAAGAAGGGAAATGAATTTTCCTTAGCAGGGCAAGCCAGAATCAAAGGACACAGTCTGAGTGTTTGCACTAAAGCAATGAGAAATTAATACAGGAAAAAATTGTTTTCGCTCTGTACTGAGGCACAAAGGTGCCCAAGAGCCTTACATGCATCAAAAGTTGGGAAGATAATATGTGAGGGCTTACGGGAGAAGAGTGGGAAATTTAAATTAAAAAGATTGCGATAGCTGATAGAACACAAAATTTCACTGTTATTCTTTACCATTTAACAAGGGTGGGATGAAGTTAATAGTTTATTAAGCAGGGCTGCTAAGCAACTAATAGGCAGTTCTCACTGCAGACTGAGGTTGTTCTCTGCAACTTCCTCAAATTCATCAAAAAGTAAAAAATTGTGATGGTGGACCTAGTTTTTTTTTTATTTTGGCCGTAAAAGCTGTATGTGCTTCCTTGCAGTTCTTGTTTCATTTTGCACTGTGTCACCAATTCTTATTGATCATAACATGCAGGAAATCTGTCTCTGAACAAAGTATTCTCCTTGACTTCGGATGGTAACTCTACCTTTTATACTAAACCAGTTGGACGCAGAGCGCCCCGACGATTTGCATCTCATAGAATTGGATGAGTCTCACAGAAGCGAACATACGGTTTTCATAACACCTCCTGATCTTCCAAGCTTGCCGAGTGGAGAAGAGTATCCCCTTCAATATAGGTATGCATCCAAGTTTGTTTGCATGGTTAGGGCACAGAGGAAATCGTAAGGTTTCAAAATGTGTGTCTAGTTTTTATAATGTTTTCAATGCCTAGAATCATTTTCATTTGCTGTTTCCCTTCCTAATAATCATAAAAACATTTACACTGGATAAGGTATAGGTAGCTATGGATTGTTGTCAGTAAGGTATTATTGTCCTGCATGAGCATCACCACACATTAGTATGATGATGTGGACATACTGTGTGCACAAAGTTGGATAAAATTGGAGTAAGGTTTTAGAGTAGATTTGTAGCTCGGGTTGTGGATGTTATGGTTGGTTGGCTCGCCGAGCTGGTTTGTTGTTCCGCAGACGTTTGTCCCTGAGACAAGCAAAGCAGAGACAAGCACGGGAGTTCCTAGAAGCCTGGTACTCCACAAAGAATGCCATCAACAAACACACAGAACTCGACCCCATATACACTCCATTGCGAAGGGAAACCGGAAATGAGGTGATCCAGCTCAACAGACTCCAGAGTTTAAATACCAGGCAGGAAAACACAACGGCGCTTCATCAGAGGCTGCACTGATAATGTTACCCAGCAGGGTAATGAAACGTCTGCGGAACAACGAACCAGCTCGGCGAGCCAACCAACCACAAAATTGGAATATCCTGTACTTGTAGATGCAAAGTTAAAACATATATAGCATGAATTTTCAATTTAAAAGCTGTAAGTTAACTACTACATACAGTTTGTAAATTAGCATGTTTGTATTGTAATTTAGAGAATCATGATTATGCTTCAGCCTTTATTCATCACTGCCAGTTATTTTTATGCAAACTCATTAGATCTGTTTTTAGTGCTGACGGCATAACTGTTCTCCTCCAGGGAGCAGCTACTGTATGTTTTCTTTTAAATGCTTCACGTAAATTTTTGGCTTTGTTTTGAAAATAAGTTTTTTTTTACAACGATGAAAATTTTCAATGCCAAATTGCAAACACTAGGTTTAACAAACATCCAGCTGTCTTCTGAAAATGTTGTATTTCTTTGAGTCTCATTCCAAAGGAGTTCTGTGCTATCTGATAGCTCTCCCAAGTGGCAGCATTTTGTGGTTCAGTTGCTGCAAGAACGTGCATTTGATACTCCCCCCATCACCACTTCATAACAATCAGGGTGAAAATCCAGGCTAATGTTTTTCTCTTCCACTTAATGTAGTGTGCTGAGGATATCATAGACCGTACGGTTGCCTTGTATTGAGGACAGAAAGCCAGATACCTGCAGTGCCTGAAATGTTGTGTGACCATCTAAAGAATAAAAGATACTTTCCCAGAACCTAAAAAGCAAACGCAGGTTCTGGAAATCTGGAAGAAAACAAAATTATAAACACATCAGGGTAAATAGTATCTGTGGAGAGAACAGAAAAGTTAATGCTTTGCATGTGTACATAAGGACATGTAAATCAGGAGCAATAGCCATTTGATTCCTTGAGCCTGCTCCACCATCCAATAAGATCACAACTGATATGATTGTAACCTCAGAGCCATGTTCTTGCCTACTGTGGTAACCTTGCTTAACAACAATCTACCTACTTCTGCCTTAAAAACATTCAAGGACTCTGCTTCCACCACCTTAGGAAAGGAGTTCCAAAGATCTTCTGAGAAAAGGTTTTGCCTAATTGCTGTTTTAAATGATTGATCCTTTATTTTTAAACAGTAACTAATAGTTCTAGATTGTCCCAAAGTGGGAAACATCCTCTCCACAGCAACCCTCTCAAGACCCCTCTGGATGTACCTGTTGGTATTCTGACAAAGCATTAACCATGGCTGTTTCCTCCAATGTTGCCTGACCTGCTGAGTGACGTCAGGTTTTCTGCTTCCTTTTTACATGCCTTAAAGCTCCTGAAATGTTGACTTGTCTTATATTTTATAAATGCTGTCAAATCTTGTGTGTAGTCTCGACACTTTTTTAATTTTACTTCCATATATCTAATATTTACTTTTTCATGTATAGTGTTACATGTGGGTTAGGTGAAAACCTTTTATTTTGCATTTAAGTAAGGTAATTAATTACATTTCAGTTGTTGACTATGTTTGCTACATTTTAATGTATTAACTCTAAATTGATCCTGTCCCTGCAGTTACTCTAGCTTCCCTGTGCTAACACCAGAACTGTTTGACAGACCAGTGGGTTTATTAAAAACTCCAGCAAGCAGGTTAACTTCAAAAAATAGTTGTCCCAGCAGTCCAGCACCCATGGGCAGAAGAACTAAGCAGGTACACTGTGACTAATGTTTGTATTCTGAATATTCTGTCATAAAGTGTGGGAGAACCATTTGGTACTATTGGTACACGGAAAGATTGAACACTGTGGCCAGTGGGAGAATGATTCATTGGTTAGGATGTATTGTTGGAGTGAAAACATAAATCGATATTGTGGAGAAAGTGAAATTGGGTAAATTCTGTTTCGTGCCATCTATGTATAGGAAAAGTAATACTTTCAATGTAAAGCATTAAAATTGTGAACTGCTTGAATGCACACATGAATTATGAATTTAATTTCATAATTTTATTTGTGTTGTATTTCAGGAAATAAAATCAGCTCAAAAAATTGCAAAGCGTTATTCATCAATTCCTCAGATGTGGTCAAAATGTCTCTTGCGCCATTGCTATGGCCTCTGGTTCATCTGCCTCCCTGCTTATGTGAAAGTTTGCCATTCAAAAGTTAGGGCTCTTCGGACTGCGTACGATGTGTTGAGGAAGATGCAAGTTAAGAAGTTGGAGCCACCTGATGAGGTATGAATACTGACACATTGTACCATGGTCGCAAACAATGGCTTTAGTATTACCATGTGGTTTGGAAGAGAGGAAAGAAGATATAATAAATAACAAATTACCTATGGTGGAATGCTTGTTTTATTTCTGATTTTCCTCTGCCAAACTAACCCTAGACGAATATCAGTGCAGTTTTAAAACAGTATTTTTTTCCCATATTTATTTCAGTAATGATGGGCCATTTAAAATAATCCCCGTCCTCCTTTCCCGTGACCATCCCATTCACTAACAGAAATGCCAATATTGTTGGGGGAGTCGACTTCTCGGAATAGCAGTAAAAGCTATGTCCATGGCAGCACAAGTGATGCTGCTGTACTAGATGGGAGAATGAAGAATGATAGTGCTATAATGATAAAGGATTCATTAAGCGGAACAGACATGCGTTTTTGTGGCTGCGCAAGTCTCCAGCATGGTACGTTGCCTCCCTGATGCCAGAGACAAGGATCTCTTGGAGATGTGACAGGATGTTCTGAAAGGAGAGGGTGAACAGCCAGTGGTCATGGTACATATTGGTACCAATGATATAGGTAATAGTAGCGATGATAACAAACACGATGATGACCTACAAGCTGAGTAGAGAGATTTGGGGTGTAAATTGAAAAACAAAACTTCAAAGGTAATAATCTCAGAGTTCCTATTTTGTGGTGCTGTTGGGGAGGGCTTAAATTCAAATGACAGGAGAATGAGAACCTAAGCAGGCAGACAGGAGGAGGAAGTAATGATAGTAACGAAACACAGAAACTTAAGAAGTCCAAGTGGGCGTCAGAAAAAAAGAGTGAAAAACACGTGGGGCCATAGTGCAAAAGTGCAAAGTAAAGCTAAGGTGACTAATGACGTTAAAACAAGAAGTCTTAAAGATATTGTGTCCTAATAGATGGAGCATTAGCAATAAAGTAGATGAATTAACAGTGCAAATAGATACGCATGGGTATTATATAGTTGCAGTTAAGGTGACATTGGGGAAGAGTGACTGTAATATGATAGAACTGTCATTAAGTTGAAGAGTGAAGAAGTTAAATCCAAAACTATGGTCCTGAAATAAAGGAAACTACAAGGATATAAGGTGCAAGTTGGCAATGATGGGTTAGGGAATCTTACTAAAAGAGGCAGCACAATGGCTCAGCGGTTGGCACTGTTGCCTCTCAGCGCCAGGGACCCAAGTTCAATTCTAGCCTCTGGCAACTGTCTGTGTGGAGTTTGCACATTCTCCCCGTATCTGCGTGGGTTTCCTCTGGGTGCTCCGGTTTCTTCCCACAGTCCAAAGATGTGCAGGCTAGGTGGATTGGCCGCACTAAATTTCCTATAGTGTCCAGGGATGTGCAGGTTAGGTAGATTAGCCATGGGAAATCTAGGGTTACAGGGATAGGGTAGGCGGTGAGTCTGGGTGCGATGCTCTTCAGAGAGTCGGTGTGGACTTGCTGGGCTTGTTACCACACTCCTAGGATTCTATGACTGGCAGCGACGAATATTTAAGGAATGTGTGCATGAATTACAACAATTATTCATTCCTATCTTGTGCAAAAAATAAAACAGGAAAGATGTCTCAATCATCTTGCGAAAGAAATTAAGGGTAGTATTAAATCCAAAGGAGAAGCGCACAACATTGACAGAAAAAAACAGCAATCTTGAAGACTGGGAGTAGTACTCGGCAAAAGAGGACAAGAAGGTTGAAGAAGAGAAGGAAAATAAAGTATGAAAGTAAACATAGAACTGACTATATAAGCTTCTATAAGTAGTGAAAAAAGAAAGATGCACTGCACAAATTCACCAAAGCTCCTTAGACAGCAAATCCAAACCAGTTACCAGAAAGAGAGAGATGTGCAGGCGCAAAACGAAAGAGCTATGCACGTGCCGAGAGAGAGAGTGTGACGGATGCAGACACACGTACAAAGACAGATTTCCCACACCTGTGAAAGGTAGCTGAAATTTGGGAATACTCCTGAGGCTTTGCTTCATAACCAATTATTATCAATATTGCTGAACCTTTCTATTAAAGTCATAAACAGAATGATAGAAGACAAAATCCCTCCAGTATGATGAGACCATGCTCTCCAAAAGTGCAAAATTTCTTCAAAAAATATCTGAAGACAGTAGGGACAGCAGATGCTGGAAGCTAGGATCAATAAATGTGAAGCTGGAAAAGCACAGCCGGTCAGACAGCATTCGAGGAGTAGGAAAGTTGATGTTTTGGGCCGAAACCCTTTGTCAGGACTGGGATGGGAGCCCAGAAATAAATAGAGGAAGGGGTTGGGGTTGGGGCTGGGGCTGGGGCTGAGGCTGAGGGAATGGTAAGTGAGATGGAGATAGGTGGATGCAGGTAGGGGGTTATTGTGGTTGGTCAATGAGAAGGGTGGAGCAGATTAGTGAGTCAGAAGATAGACAAGTTGGGGGAGGAGAGATTTTGAAGCTGGTGAAGTCAATATTCAGGCCATTGAGCTGTAAGCTCCAAAGGCGAAATATGAGGTGTTGTTCTTCCAGATTACGTTTGGCCTCACTCTGACAGTGGAGGAGGCCAAGGATGGTCATGTCACCAGGGGAGTGGGAGGGGCTGTTAAAGTGGATGGTAACTGGAAAGTCGGGTTGGTTGGTGCGTGCAGAGCGCAGATGCTCGACAAACTGGTCCCCAAGTCTGCATTTGGTCTCCCTAATATAGAGGAGACTGCATCAGGAGCAACGCTTACAGTAGATGGGCTAGGTGAAGTGTAGGTGAATCTTTGCCAGATTTGGAAGGATTGTTTGTGTCCTCGTATGGAGGTAGAGAAGTGTAGGGGCAGGTGTAGCACCTCCTGCAGTTGCAGGGAAAGGTACTGGGTGTGATGAGGGGTTGGTGGGGAGTATGGAGCTGACAAGGGAGTCACGGAGTGAATGGCCCCTGTGGAAAGCAGACAGGGGTGGGGAAGGAAATACCTTTTTCGTGGTGGTGATGGTGGCCTCAACTGCATCTCCCCCATTTCCCATACTTCTGCCCTCAAACCCTCTTCTCCGTTAGCCCCCCCTTGATCCTCACATACCACCAGCCTTCGAATACAATGCATTATCCTCTGACACCTACAATCAGTCCCCACCACCATCTGCATCCTGCACGCACCAACCAATCTGACCTTTCTGTTGCTATCTACTTTAACTCCCCCTCTGATTCCCCTGGTGACGTGTCCAACCTTGGCCTCCAAACGTAAACTGGAGGAATAACACCTCATATTTCACCTCGGGGGAAATGGCCTGAATATTGACTTCACCAGCTTCAAAATCTCTCCTCCCCCAACCTGTCCATCATCTATCCATTCCATCCTTCCCACTGACCAACTACAATAACCCCCATCATGCATCCACCTATCTCCATTTCACCTACCTCCTCCTCCGCCCTCCCCAGTCCTGACAAAGGGTTTCGGCCCGAAACATTGACTTTCCTGCTCCTCGGATGCTCTCTGACTGGCTGTGCTTTTCCAGCTCCATATTCAAAAAATATCTATTGTTAAAGCAAGTCAATGTATATTGGGATTTGGCCAATGATGTACTTGTATATCATTTAAGCTACAAGTCTGTTAAACCTGATATTAACCAAATCCTGACAACATCTTTCAAAACCTTCAGGTGATGGAGATCTTGGCCAGATAGTGTATATGGCACTTGCATAACTATGGAGATAAATGTAATGGAGGTAATTTCTTAAGTGCATCTCCCTGACAATTTCTTACTGAAGGAAGCTTTCTTTTCCCCATTCTAGGTGTGTTACCGTGTTCTGATGCAGTTATGTGGGCAGTACGGGCAGCCAGTGCTAGCTGTGAAAGTTCTGTTTGAGATGAAGAAAGCAGGGGTTCACCCCAATGCTATAACATATGGTTACTACAATAAGGTATGAGCCTGTGCATGTTTACTGAGACATTGTGTTGCTTTTTAATTGTAACTTATTCTTATTCCCTCACCTTTCATTTTCCTTACATTGCTTTTTCCAAGACAATGAGCTGTTTTCATCTTCTGCCAGTGTTTTTCTTCAGCAAGCTGCAAACACATTTACTTGGCCTACTGGGCAAGGGTAACCTCATTCTTCATGTTCTCCCCACCTGTGTGGACATGAACTCAGTATCTACTGGGTGAGATCATTGAAACTGTATTGTGAATGCTATAACCACTTCACTGCGTTAGAATATCAAAGGTCCAAACCAATCTGACTACCCATGTTAATCAATAATCAATTTAAATTCTTTACTGCTTTTGTAAAGCATCTCATTTATTGACATGGAAATGAGTCTTGTAGAAGATGCTTACTTGAATGATTTAAAGAAGGATGGAAACCCCAGCTGTCTCGAGGTTTTAGAATTATATTGATGCCTTGGATTGGCAGCCATGGTGGATCATCTTACAAGTTCAGCCAGTGACTTGTATGATTTGGTTTACAATTCAGAGCTCCATGTCAAAGTACAATCAATTCAGCAAAGTTTACTGTAACTGCATTCAGTTTCTTGAGAACTTTTCCAAGTTGTGTTCACTAGAAATCAATGTTCAACTCCTAAAAAGATACGTAAACTCAGAAAAAATAAGAGCAAAAATAATACCATTCGGCCCACTGACTCCTTACTCTACTATTTGTTAGAATGGCTGAACTGAGTGAGGCCACAACTCCCTTTCCTATTCTTCCTCCCACAACCCTTGACTTCCTTATCTATCAAGAATGTGTCTAACTCAGCCTTGAATATTTTCAATGATCTAATCTCTACTGCTGTTTCGAGAATTCAAAAGACTAATGACCACCTAAGAAAATAAATTCCTCCAGATCTGTCTCAAACGGGAGGCATCTTTTGTTTTATTTTGTTGTGCCCCTTAGTTCTAGATTCCCAACAAGAGGAAACATCGCAGTTTTGTCTCTATCAAGCCACCTCAGAATCTTACGTATTTCAATAGAATCACCTCTAATTCTTCTGACCCCAATGATTATAGGTCCAACTGTCCCTTCACCCCAGGAATCAGCTGAGTGAGCCTGCTCTGCACTGCTTCAAGTGCAAGTAAAGCATTCCCTTGGTAAGGAAACCAAATCTGTACACAGTACTCCAGATGCAGTCTCACCAATGCCCCAGAAAGTTGCAGGAAGACTTCCCTACTTATGTGCTCTGTTCCCTTGTAGTAAAGGCCAGCATCCATTTGCCTTCCCAATCATTTGCTGGACATGTGGTTTTGTGGCTCGTGTACTAGGACACCCAGGCCCCTCTGTAATGTAGCATTCTGCAGTAAATCCCCGTGGAGAGATGGTGGTGTAGTGGTCATGTCACTGCACAAGTAATCCAGAGTCACAGATTAATGTTTCAGGGAGCAGTGCAAAACTCATCATATTACCTGTTTTTTCCCATACTCCAATAACTGAAATTACGTTTTTAAATGATAATGGCATTACTTTTTCTCCATCTGATTTTTTCCCCCCCTCATTTCCTGAAGGCCCTGGCTTAGTGGAGTTTGTTCCCATGGAACTATCTTGTCCAACAGCCTGTTCCTTGAAAATGAGTGTGGATTATAAATTGGTGGGCTATCCCATTAAAGGGAATGTTAAGGCTGAGCTTGGTTTCTCTTGTTCATTCATACGTACAGTGTAGCCAAAGTTACAACTGTTTCCATTGCTTTTTAAGTAATATGTTATTGCCCAGTCCTGAGATCAGGAAAATACAGGCAACTTAACAAACCTTTACCGATCCATGCCAATTGAGATTGGTTAATTCACACAGCTCAAAGTGAAATGTGCATTTTTCCCAATTTGAATGGCTGTACCCCCTCATTCTTAGTCTGTATAATCTCTTTTCCCATAATCTCCAATCACTCAGTGCCACATCATTTCTGGTCTGTATCACTCTGTACTTCACTGTGCATGTATTTAGTTATTGAATAATATGCTTACGTCTCCTGTAGTCACATGTGGTTTTATTGTTTAAATTCTATTTTCACTTACTGTGTAGAATGAAAAATAATAATTTCATGAAAACTTTGAATTGAATAATTTTACTGCACAAAATTCTCTGCTGGAAATGCTATTGGAATTCTTCTCTGGACCCTTCAACACTTGGAGATTTCATTTGAGAGAGCTTTTAAAAAGATAATCATTTAAAATGAACCTGTTGGACTTCCACCTATCAGTGTTGTTCTGATTAAAGTTACCTGAACTTGCTAGTGATCCATGGTGCCATTGACTCAAATGCAAGTTGAACAGGATTGAGCTGTTTTATTGCCAATTAATTGTATAATGGAGCCTGAACACTACAGAACAATGATCTCTTTTGAAAATGGTCAAATATTAGCACACGATCGTGACAGAATGTGCCACAGCTTTAGTCTTCAATCCCTCAATGTACATTTCAATTCTGATTTCAAAGGCACTGTTTTTAAAGACTTCTGCCATGTTTCTGTAAATTACACAGTGCAGTACCAGAACTAAGATATTATAGTGTCATAGAGCATGGAAACAGATCCTTTTGTCCAACTCATCTGCGCCAACCAGGCATCCCAATCTGATCTAGTTCCATTTGCCAGCATCTGGCCCATATTTCTCCAAAGTCCTCTCGTTCATACACCTGTCCAGGTGCCTTTTAAATGTAGTTTTATCCACTTGCACCACCTCATCTGGCAATTCATTCCATACACACACCACCCTCTGCATGGAACCATTACCCCTCAGGTCTATTCTAAAGCTTTCCCCTCTCGCCTATGCTGTTTAGTTTTGGACTCTCCCATCCTAGGGAAAAGACCTTGACTATTCACCATGCTCCTCATGATTTTATAAATCTCTATAAGGTCACCTCTCAGCCTCCAATGCTCCAGGGAAATCAGCCCCAACTTATCGAACCTGTCCCCATAACTCAAATCCTCTAGTCCTGGCAATGTCCTTGTAAATCTTTTCCGCACCCTCTCAAGTTTAACAGCATCCTTCCTATAGAAGAGCGACCAGAATTGTACACAGCATTCCAGAAGTGCTCTCACCAACGTCCTGTACAGTTACAACATGACGTCCCAACTCCTATACTCAATGTTATGACCAATGAAAACAAGTGTGCCAAACACCACCTTCACCACCCTGTCATTCTTTAATAACCACCACTTTACATTAGCATTGCTCAGTGATACTGTTGTTCATTCTGATGTCAGTGAATATTTATAGTCAAAGTTATCTTCACTGTTTTCTGCAAAATCTTGGTGCTAGGTTGTTGAATCCATTCAACTGTGAGGCACTTGACTCCAATTGAACCAGACTCTTTGCAACTTTAACACCTGATTTGACCCTGATTCCATGGCATAGTTCCACCTGCATAACATGACTTACCTTCATTGACTTTCACCCTCCTGTCATTGAAATTAAAATCTATGCCTGTAATTCCAGGCTGGTCCAAATTCTCTCCTTTGCTCCATAAGCATCAACTCATCCAAAATGTTCTTAACCTATCCCATGCGATATCCTGTTCACCAACTACCTCTCTCTTTACTGACTGACCTTGTCTCCTGGATGCCAAGACTTCAAATTTTAAATTCCTATGCTTGTGTTTAAATTTTCTTTGTGGCTTAACCCTTTAAATAAATGTAATCATCTTCAGTCCTCTCACTCTTTCTTCGAGTCTGGTTTTGTCTGCAGTGCCCTTAATGCCACACCCCAAAGTTGACAGGCTGGACAGTGCACTCTGAGATTCCAGCACCAAGCCCTTCCATCTCTCAACCAACCTTTCCTCATTTAAAGTATCCTTAAAACCCACTTCCTTGACCAAGCTTTTGGTCCCTGTCTTAATAGCACCTCACTTGTCTTGACAATTTATTTTAATTGCGACTCAATGAAAGATGTTTTCTGATTCGAGTTGGAAGTTATTTTGTTTTTATTATCATAAAAATGGGACTTCTCATGAACATTAGTCCATCATGCATGCAGTAAGCTTCTGCCATCTGGACTAGATGTGAATTCATTCACAATTAGGGTTGACACGAGCTAGAGTTTCTGTAATTCTCTGTTGACAGTTACATTTCTTTACCTAGTGCCTGAATAGCAAGTAAACTCTACCAATATTGCAGACAATTTGACTGAATGTCCTCAGAAAAGAGCTTTATCTTTTGGTTTTGCAGTAGGCTAATAGTGCATTTGATTTTCCACAGGCTGTTTTAGAGAGTACATGGCCATCAAGCAACAGAGGCGGCTATTTTCTGTGGATGAAGATAAGAAATGTTGTGCTCGCAATAGCTCATTTCCGCAGAGTTTTGAAAAGGGCTCCAGCAAACCCGCCACAAACTCCTGTGCTCTCGGGTAGGACTCAAAGTTAGAATCAGACAGACTGTGGGATTCAGAAAGCACTTGCTATTCAGCTAATTTATGCAGAGAAATATTTAATTGTACAGCTGATAATTTTGGTAAATTTAGTTCTGAAAGTTGCAATATTTCTATAGTCTTTGTAAACCATATTGTTTTAATTTTACTTCTGAGTTTGTGAGGTTTTTAAAACCTTGCTTTACGTTTAGAGTTATAATAAAAGATGTAGGAAGAAATATTGTTCAAATAACATATAAAATTGCCTTAACATACTGCCTCGATTGTTGGATTGGTTTACTGATAATTCTAGCAGTTATACCACCTAAAAAGATGTAAAACGCAATGTTATATTTAATTTTTTTCCTGCTTAATGTTGCATGCAACAGGATGTATTATATATTAGTGTGGGCAGCAAACTTTCTGGTGCCAGTGCCACACTTGAGAACAGTTAGTTTTAGTAAAAATTGGGAGTCAGACCTGGTACATTGCTCTCATCAGATGGCCTTCCTAAAACACACTGTTGCTGACCCATGAGGTGCAAAATCTCCTGTGGTGATGTTTTAGTCTAAGATAGAACAGAAATGTGGCATGTCCATATGGATGGCACACACTGAAGAGTACAGATGTTTCACAATCTGCTGTGCATGAGGCTATGTAAAGAACATTACTAAACTATCATTGTCAGGTATAATTTGCTTCAGTTTTGATGTGAAACTTTGTGTACTCATTCAGCTTTTTACAGCTCATCTGTTCCATATTTTTAATTGTTTTTCCTGTAACTAGAAATATTTTAATATTGAGTTAACATCTGTGGGAATCTATTTCTGAAGACCAAATATTTCCTATCTTCTCTTATTTCCATCACACAGTTGTCTTTGGTCCACATTTATTGGGAGCACTTTTCTGTCACGCTACTGTTGGAAATGGACTATCAATGATGCTAGCTGTACGTCACTCTGTCCAGTGACAAGCCAGAATCCCACATGCTACAGTATTCTGAAAGAAATGTGTTCAGAGCTTTAGCAATTATCCTCCACCCATACTGAATCCCATGTGAATGTCTTGTCCCCCTTAAACACAGATTACAAATTTCACAGATTTCCATCTGACACCATGGCAGTAACACAGGAGGTTCCAATACCATTTTGAAGAATGAATTAATGTTTTATATCTCTGTTCTCGTATAACTAATCAATTTAACTGGAAATTAAATAGTGGAGGATTCTTGCAATCAGCATCTCTTCTGTGATGAAGCCTCAGGAATCATTTGCTTTTCTTGGAAAAAAACTTATTAAATGATGATTGATTTAGTTGATAAACTGGTGTGAAGAGGAATTAAATTTAGCAGCTGGCATGAACTGAAGTAATGTGATTAAAAAAATTTCAGTGTGTTGCCGCAATTATGTTATTGCAATCATGTTTGTTATTCAGTTGTCTAAGCATTTGACCTCGATCATGCTTGTAAGAGAGGTATTAATTAAAATGAACATTCAAGTAAATGTTATTTTGGAATTTGAAGAAGGTTTTTATTGAGGAGGCTCCTTTAAAATCAATTGTTGTGATTCTCTTATGGCTCCAAAAAGTTAGCCAAAAAGTCAATAACACTGATCAAGCAGTGTGCAAGTTTGATAGTTAATAATGCATGGCACAAGGACTGAACTAATTGCCACAGTTACTATTTTGATTGCAATGTGACAATCCTCACTAGGATTGTGCATGGGTCTGATTCAGCTTTGATGCTGTCTCATGCAATCCCTTTGGTCACTGCAATCACCAGAATAATTGTGGCTTATGTCACGTATTGGCTGAAACATGGAGCTGTGATTTTAGAAGAGAAGGGGAGTGAATTAGCTAGAAAAAAAAAAGACCGGGTTCCTCATGACTTGTTCTAATCTGTTCTGTTCTCTAAGCAGATGGCAGTGACTTGGATGCTGTCAGCCACGGCAGCATGGATAGCTCTAATGACCCTAGCACTGCGGAACAACCCCAGTTCAACTCTGAGCTAATGAAAGTAGATTCCACTGATGATAGATCTAGTACAGGTACATTTTAACAGTGTCACCAATATCTATCAACTCAAACTTCTCTTATCTTTTGTTTTGTTCATTGCTTTTTGCTGTCCCCTTTTCTCTGTTTGTAATCGTCTTGTATCCATTGTCTGTGGTTTTTGATTTCCTTCTTATCATGATGACCTCTTCCCTTCCATGTTTTACTTTAATCCACCATCTTGCCTATCCCCACACATATGTTCCCTGCACGCAGCTAGGCTTGGCTCTAGCTTGAACTATGGATATGACAGTCAGGATTCCTTGTATGAAAAGGTCCCGTTTCTCTCTCTCTGGATTTCCTCAGAACTGATGGATGATCATATGTTTTCAGGTAATTGTCTAATGTCCATGTGTTTTTCTTGCCGCTCTTCTTTCATGTTTCTCTTCCAATTAATTTCCTCAACTTTCAGTTTTCTTTTTATTGTTGTTTTTCTTGCTATTTTCTCTAAATATGATCTGTTCATGACTAAATTGTATAATTTATTTCGCCATTCTAGAGTGGAATATATTTAGAATAGTCCTCGGTAGCAACCCAGAAAAAATACAATGATAGTGCAGGATACTTTTCGCTTCATGTTAGCGAATTGAATGCAATAAATGATAAATCTTCAGGGGTACCACCCTCCCAGAGGCACCACTGTGCCACCTCTGTCACCAAACACTATGTATGCAAGTTATCCGGAGTGATTGTCAGTCTTGTGTTTCCTCGCATAAAGAAAAAGTACTGTATATGCTGGGAATGTGAAACAAACCCAGAATGCTGGAGAAACTGAGCAGGTCTGGCGACATCTGTGGAGAGGGAAACACAGTTGACATTTAGAGTCTGGTATGAGTTCTTCAGAACATGTTTCTCCTTCTATTTCCAGATTGCGTAATGCAGAAGGGGGGGTGTTACATCCACTTAGTGTTTCACCCTTAATTGCACATTTATCTGTTGCAAGTCATGGTCGTAAACCCTCAGTGCAGTGGGTTGGAATGTGAATTGGTGTTTTATATTTATGAGGGTGATTCAGAGCCAGCATTCTTTTAGTTTCATCTGTGCATGTGCCATTGTGTTCAGTTATTAACTAAATAATTTACTTTTAATTTTTATTGCTAAAATTACATGCTTCAACATGTTTACAGTATAATTTGCACAGATGCATTGCAGATTGTTTTCCTTAAATAAACCACATCGTAGAAAGTTACAAGAATCAGAAAACAGTACAAAGGCATTTGTAGATACACCTTGTTTCTCTATAATTTCTGAAAAGTCATGAATCACTTGCAGGATTATTTGTTTTGGATGATTGTAATTACTGCAAAAAATACAGAATAAGATGGAACAGATTTCTCAACAAACATTCAGAATGTTTGAATCTTGTTCTGTGTTATAACTCAACATTCATTCATTCACACTTCATTGATTTTTAGCAGCAACTCTTGAGTAAATATTAAAATTAGTCCAAGTTAGTTAACGTCTTCTGCATTTAGAAACATATCTGCAAAGTTCATGTTTGCTTGTAATAGCTTTCATCTGCTTGTTTAAAGCCCCTGGCCAACATTTTTTATTTAACCTATTTTTCTAATCACCCTGTTCAGAGATATTACTACACACCTCTGGAGCAGGTGGGACTTGTACTTGAGCCTCCCGGTCCAGGGGAACGGATACTACCATTGCACCACAGAAGCCACCCTCCTCTCATTTTCAATGTTTGATTAAAGTTGTGTGTATCTTAAGGTTGTGTCATCAGACTGATTCTGAACTGCTTGCTGATCATCCACTAATTAATAAGAATGTTGAAATAGAAACATCGCTTTGGAATACTGATGTTTTAAATTGTTTTCCTTTGTCAGGCCTTTTTGGTGCATAGAGGAGATTGAATACAATTTGTCTGATTTGTCATGGCAAGAATCTGAGACTCGGCTGAGAGAACAGGGAGCAGATCCCAGCCGCTCCAATACAGCCAGGAGTCTGGTGCTGATCTGGTGCACCTCCTTGTGGCTAGTTTGAGACATTACATAAAATCTGCTTGGGGAATAAGCAAATTCCTCAAGCCATTGATCAACATAGTGCAGTGGAGTGAATATCAGAAATTACTACCATTTTTGCATTTTGACACAAGATGGTAGATTGCCATAAGAATTATTTGTTTAAGTGAAGGAGTGTAGGTAAATTGCTCAAGATCAAGCTGATTACAACCCAGGATTATGTTCAGTCTCTAAATATGGCTGAAAAAAACCCCAGTTTGTCAAAGCTTTACTCCTGGCATGCATCAAGACATTTGCAAGAATACCAATGTAAAGGGGACAACATCTTATCCCATAGGAGAAGTGAGTGTCAGTTGGTTGGTGAGTGAACACTGTTAGAAGTGTTGCCATGAAGAATCAATCAGTTAATGATGGCTGACCGTTAACGGCCAAGTATTGATTATGTTTAAACCGGAGATTGCTTAGATCGCTCATCAGCCATGACTCGATATTGTAACTATAGTAGTTTTTATACACAATGATCGTACTTTGTTTAATGTAGAATACACAAATGTCGGTACATCTTGGTTAAGGCCCAGTCCATAGTCCATCGTGATATTGATTCTAGTTGAATTTCTGGTTTTTGTAGATCTAAATAACCTAAAATGATCACCCGCCCAGAAAGAAGTTCTACTGATGTTTTTTTTTCAGCTTAGTGCTGAATTTGGAAGATTTACGGACCTAGCAACCAGAACTTCCAAATCACCCACTCATTTCCAAATACTGTTGCAGCTGGACATCCCACATTCAGGTTTCTTCACATTCAGAAGCTGGACTGCCCCATGAGAACCTAAAAACAAACGATGCAGTTTAATGTTTTAACGAAGATCTATAGCTCAGGTTGCATTTGGAGTTGTTGGTTGGTTCGCCGAGCTGACTGGTTTTCATTCAAACATTTCGTCTCCCTTCTAGGTGATATCATCAGTGCTGTGTAGCCTCCATTGAAGTGCTGCTGTTCTGTCCTGCTCTGAATTTATGTGGTCCAGTCTGTCATGGTGGGCAGTCTTGTTTCCGATTATTATACCTGACTAGATGGGGTCTATTTCAACATGTTAATTGCATTGGTGCTTGAAAACCAGGCCTCCTGGAGTTCTGGTGCTTGTCTTCGTCTTGCTTGTCCTAGTACTGTAACTTTGTCCCAGTCAATTGACATGCTTCTATGTCGGAGTGTATTGCAATGAGGGAGAGTTGGTCATGCCGTTTTGCTGCAAGTTGGTGTTCATGTAGCCTGGTGGCGAGTTCCTGCCTGTCTATCCTATGTAGTGTTTCTCGCAGTTGCTGCGTGGCATTTTATTGATCACATTTGTCTTGCTCATTGTGGGTATGGGGTTTTTCATCTTTGAGAGTAACTGACGAAGTGCGGCAGTTGATTTGTGTGCTGTCCTTGTTCCAAGAGGTTATAGGAGTTTTGTAGTCAGTTCTGATTATGTTTCTAATGTGTCTAAACGAGCAATAACTCACTGCAACACCCCAGAATTGCACAAAAACGAACAGGAACACATAAACAGTGTCATTGCAAACAATGGTTATCCTAACAGCTTCATCTGCCGATGTCTGGTAAATAACACCAAGAAGACACTGTACGCCCAACACACTGGCCACCCTACCCTATGTTAGAAACACTTTAGAACTGACTACAAGACTCTTACGACCTCTTGGCATCAGGACAGCACACAAACCAATAGCCAACTGCACCAGTTACTCTCAAAGACTAAAGACCCCGTGCCCACACTGAACAGGACAACTGTGATATATAAAATACCATGCAGCAACTGCGAGAAACACTACATAGGACAGACAGGCAGGAAACCTGCCACCAGGATACATGAACACCAACTCGCAGCAAAACAGCATGACCAACTCTCCCTTATTTCAATACACGCTGACATAGAAGGACATCAATTGAACTGGGACAAAGTTACAGTACTACTACAGTACTAGGACATGCAAGACAAAGAGAAGCATGAGAATTCCTGGAGGCCTGGTTTTCAACCACCGATACAATTAACAAACTTGTTGAAATAGACACCATCTACATACCACTACGGTACAAAACTGGAAACAAGACTGCCACCATGAGGGCAAGGGCTTTTTTCATTGGAGCAAAGAAGGATGAGAGGTGACTTGATAGAGGCGTACAAGATGATGAGAGGCATAGATAGAGTGGATAGTCAGAGGCTTTTTCCCAGGGAAGAAATGACTATTAGGAGGGGGCATAAGTTTAAGGTGATTGGAGGAAGGTATAGGGGAGATGTCAGAGGTAAGTTCTTCACACAGAGAGTGGTGGGTGTGTGGAATGCGCTGCCGGCAGTGGTAGTGGAGTCAGATACTTTAGAGATTTTTAAGCAACTCTTGGATAGGCACATAGAGGATAGTAAAATGTAGGGTATGCAGGGTAGATTTATCTTAGTAGGATAATAGGTCAGCACAACATCGTGGGCTGAAGGGCCTTTACTGTGCTGTACTGTTCTATGTTCTATGACGGACTGGATCATATAAATTGGAACGGGACAGAACAACAGCGCTTCTACAGAGGCTACACAGCACTGACAATGTCACCGAGAAGGGAGACGAAATGTTTGCATGAAAACCAGTCAGTTCAGCAAACCAATCAACAACTCCAAAAGATTCAGTTAGCTAAACATAGCACTTAGGAGGATGAGGCAATATACCTTTCAATTGTAAAACAAAACTTGTTCAATGTTCAAAAATTATAAGATTGTAAATAAGCACTTTTCGGTACATTTATGTTTTTTTTGTTACTTATGTTTATTGCTATGTTTTTTTTTTCCCAAAGGTGGGCAATCAGATCTTGGATATAACTCCTTATCAAAAGAAGAAGTTAGGCGAGGAGACATATCTTCAGCACATGGATCTGAGCAGCCTTCAGTGGGGCAACCAATGGATAAGGATGGGAAAAAAGAGAGTGACTCCAGTTCATGTACATTTCCCCCCCATTTATGATTTCTACATATTTGTAGAGAGAACTGTTGTATGTGACTGTCAGAAAGAAAACAGCATGAAAGTTGTTTCTAGTCTACATGTTGTTTAGGTAGATAGGTTTTTATTAATGTAATTTTGTGAAGCTCATGCAGAAAAGTGTTTTGAAATATCTGAACTTTATTAACATTTGAAAGGTGCATTAGATGCACAGAACTGTTTTGACAAAAAAAGCTATGGGTGAGAATGAGAAGAGAAGGCTTCGATAAATGTCAGGCTCCCTGACTGCATCAGAAATAACTAAGCAACTGGCAGATAAAATCTAGAGAGATAGTAAGAACTGCCGATGCTGGCGTCAGAGATAACAGGATGGACCTGGAGGAGCACAGCAGGCCAGGCAGCATCAGAGGAGCAGGAAAGTTGACGTTTCGAGTCGGGACCCTTC